CCCCTCCCATTTGTTTTGCAAATGCCCCCTCCTTGCTCCTTTTTCAAGTCTTCCAGATTGTCTCTCTCCCCTTTTTCTCAAGAAACAACTAGCTGAAATGCATGTCTACTCAGAAGTGAATCAGATTATCTTCAGTGGCTTTCAGCTAAATCACTTGGACTGGAATAGAGGGAATTCACAGGAAAGTCTGCAGAGGAGGAAGCTGCATTTGCTGACTTCTGTGTTAGGGCAAATGTTCTGCTGTTGGCCCCACTGGCTTCACCTCACTGGGTTGGGAGAACAGCAGCAGCAGCCTTTTTCCTTCCATTTGATTTCTTGTAAGGGGGAAGGAGCTTTCAATTCCTCCCTTTTTTAGCACTTCTCTTTGCATAGCTAACTGAGCAAAAAACAAAAAAACAAAACAAAAACCCCTGACACATAAACAAGGTTCATTTCCCTGCATAAATCCTCGTTCCAGCTCCCTGACAATTGCATTTCTATTGTGTTTTAAAATATGCTTGTGTTTTAAAATATGCATGCTCCAACTGTATTCCTTCATAAAGTGAAGGGGCTTTAGCATACTCTCCCCATTGCTGAATGGACAGGCAGCTAGAGGACGGCACAGCTTTTGTCTCATGGCTTCCAGAGCCCATGCATCCTTCCATGGGCTAAAGAAAAGCAGAGGTAGTAACCAGAAGTCCTCCAGGTATTTTGGACTATGTCCCAAGCAGGAACTATAGGAGTTGTAGTCCAAACCATCTGGAGTATATCAAGATGGTTACTCCAGAACTAGAGGTAGAATGTACACTTTTGTTCATGATTATAATACCTATAATGTGTTAGGTATAAACAGCAGCATCCTAGCAGTGTTCTAACACAGAAAGCAAGTAAAAAGCAAAAATACCCATGGGGATGTATAGCTGGATTTCTAAACAAGTCCTTTTGCTTACAGCTAGAGGTAAATGTAAAACTGTTAATTTGTGTGTGATAGCTAAGAAGCAGAACTTACAAAGCAGTATAAAATTTTCCTGATACTTAATGTTTCTGTTTCAACTTTTCACATCTCTGAGTGTATTTTCCTTATTTTTCTCCTTGGTATAGTTCAACAAATTCCATTTCAGATGGGTAAGTGATAGAATAAATGCTCCAGCACTGTAGGCTGTTTTCAACATTTTCTTTGTTTGTATAAGCAAGCTAAAGTTAGAACTGACCAACACAAGTCTTGCAAATGGTGACAATAGACTGAAAACAGGAAATTTTGGCCGTGTGTATTCTGAACAGATTATCAGGATGATAGCTGGTGCAGTGGAAACTTCCACTGAGACTGTTTTTTCCTTATTTTTCTCTGGGAGCGAAGATGATGCTCCCTGGAAAACAAGTTTAAAGAGTGAGTGCAATTTGGAGAGGAGATAACAGTACATAAAGGTGCACTTACTGTTTTCCACAAGTTAGGCTTATTAAGGAAAACTTTGCAAAGGGATTTAAAAGCCATACCTGCACATAAATAAATACCTCTTATTGAAGTATGCTTTGAGTTGTCCATTCATTAGAAGAAACCTTCTAACTTTCTGCCTTCCAGATGTGTTGGACTATAACTCCCAGCATCTCCCAGCCAACAGGAGGATGCTGGAAGATGTATTTTAACATATCTTGAGATAACTCAGTTTCAGAAGTTTGCTCTAGGGCTGCCCAGTACCCTTAGAAATGTACTCCTGTTTACAGCAGGATTTCTAAAGCTAAAATTGCAAGATTAACACCTGGATAGAAGTGAGAGAGGGCTGCTCCAATCTCCAGTGACCATATATTGTTAATTTGTTTTATATTTTTAATGTATTATATTTTAATTTATGTTGTGAGCTGCCCTGAGGCTTCGGCGAATGGGGCGGCATAGAAATGTTTTAAATATATATACACACACACACACACACACACACACACTGGAGATAACATCTGCAGTGGGTCCCTGCATGATTATGGTTCAATGTCACAGGAAGGGGTCTTTGTGGGTGGGTGGGTGAGGGGGACACATTTCCCCTACTCTTCTGCTGCATGTAATTATTACTCATGTTGTTGAACATTCCCTATAGGGCTTACATCATTAGTGTCTGATACCAGCAATGCAGTCAGGTCGCAATACAACAATGTAAAATATCATAGATATTTAAACAAAAGTATAGGAAGTATTTTATGATGACATCAAATAACACTTGTAATTATTTGGAAAATAAAAACACCACCAATTGCTTGTCAAAAGACAGCTATGGTTGAATGAGAATTTGAGGCTGAAATCTTATGCATCCACACACTCTTTGGGAGTAAGGCTCATCGAACTCATTGGAACTTATTAACTTTGGTTCAGATTGAGCTATTTGCATTATTGTTTTGGCAAAAATTACTGAAAAGTCAGCACTTTTAAAGTGGGGTAACTATTCTGTAGCAAAGACCTGCTTAGCCTTTTGAGTATACTCTTGTAGGTGTTGACATTGGGCGTCCCAGCTGCAGGCTGTAATGACAATGTCAGCGAGGATGAAAGAAAGAATACATTTTGTTTCAGTTCTGTTTTTATGCATACCAAATGTCTTGGATACTGGAGCAGCACTCATCTTTTTGCCATGTAGTTAGTACAGTCTCCTAATGCACTTCTTAGTAAGGCAATGTACAGTTTCCACCATGCAGCCAATACTAAAATGTTAAAAATAGAACAAGCTTCAAGAATCTCAGATATTTTCAGATAACAAAGAGTGATTTATGTGGGCTCCCTTTTCAGTTTGACAAAACATAGAGAGGCCTTTGTACTATGATTAGCACGCGTGCTGATGTCAGTTCTCTTGTCTAGTTTCAAGCTTTTATTCTGTTGCTAAATTGTGCTTTTGTGCTATAATCCAGAGAACCTTTGTGTCTGCCTTATTAGTGTGTAGTTTATGGAATTGCTTTTGTTTTTGAGGATAGTCCGTGCCAGTTCTAGTGAGAGTGACTCATTATGCAACTAAAATAAAACATTCTTATTTTCACTATGTAGAGGAAAAACTCTTCTGGGGAGATAAGGGGGGTACAGTGGCAGGTGTTAGTAGTCTGACTGTTCTTCAAATACTTAGTATTTTGTGACATGCAAGGCTATAAACAAGTTCTGTTTAGATTATCAGTTTACAAAACTGGCTGCACTGAGAGCAGTATTTCACTTGGAATGTTGAATAGGGTATCTGTTAGCTTTGAAATACAGAGATGATTTCAAGTCATGAATGCACAAGATTAGGAAGTGAACTTCCAAGTCTGCATTTGGTGCATCTCAACCATGTTATCTCACAGAATCACACCAAAGTGTTGCTCTGCGTTATACTTTGCTGCAGTTGGTTTATTTTCCTCTATTCCTTTTGTGGAGTTTAATATTTTTGGAAGCTTCTAATGTAGAGGTTTGAGAATCTTTGGCTTTCTGTGTATTGTTGTACAATTCTGCTTATCCCTGATAACTGCTGTGGTGGCTGGGGCTGATAGGTGTGTTGTACAAAATATGTGTAGGGTACCCTCAGTGTGGATAATACTGGTGCTAGTATTGATAATACTGAGGTAGTGCAGCTAATACTCCATACAAGTGACTCCATATAAGTGGTTCCTCCACTGACTCCTCCAGTGTTCCTTAGGAGGCATATTAGTAAAGCTTACAAGTTTCAGGAAACTGGAATAGGAATGTTTCTCCCTCCCCATTTCCTCCTCTGTTTTGCACTTTCTCACATCTAGCAAAAGAAATATCTGATGTCAGAAAAAAACAAATAGATACTTTTCATCAAGTGAAAATACTGAGCATAGTCTATTATGGGTTTTAAAAAAAACATTTTTTGTGATTTATTTTAGTTGTTTTAGCCATAGGCTATTGAAGGAAAAACTAACAAAATGTGCCAGAAATGAATAAAATGCATTATTAGAAAAAACTCCAGTCCAGCTTTTAAAAAAGATGATACTGAATGGGAAGTACAGCATGAGCAATCCATATAGAAATGGGTGGAAACATTGAAATATTTCAGTTGAAATTATTATCAACAGTGATATGAGAAGCAATGCTTTTATTTTCTGTGCTCTTATCAGGAAGAGGGCTGGTCTACTAGTAAAAAACCTAATCTTTATTCTGCAATAGATAGTTGATTGAATGGTTGTTTGTTTTGAACTCCCTTCTCCAAGCTAGCATACTGCTAAATCTCCAAGTTCACCAGCCTGGTGGCAATAATGGTGAAGACAGATGCAGCAGCTTTACATGTGGTAGATATTAATGGAAAGAATCCCACCCTGCATGAATCTGAATTAGTCTTGGCCAACTAACCTAACTCTGCCAGCCTGGTTAATCAACATCCAGTTCATGTCATTGGTTACAGTCCAGATTTTGCTAAAAGAGCAGGAGGTCAGCTGCCCAAGCCTCTTACCTGGCTGTGGCCCTCCCTGGTGCTTGGAAAACTGAGCAGCAGCATCCCAGTCACCAGAGACACCAAAGAAGCCCTGTGGAAACTGATAGGGAGTGGAGAAAGAAGAGGGAAAGGGCTTTGCTTTGTTGTCACAGTTTCTGTAGGTAGGTCAGTGAGTAGTTAGAGATGAAAAGGGAAAAGGAAACTATTCTGCAGCACCTGATTATGGTCTGGAGCTGTGTTCATCGTGTGTTGGGAAGACTGGCATGCTTTATTAAGGTTTTAGCTCACCCGGTACATTCCAGATTATTTCCAGATATTTATGTACTGGGACTATATTTCCCAGTATTCCTGCCCTTTGGCCGTGCTGGTTCAGACAGAGAACGATTGAATGGATACAATTACATTGTAGATCCACTATGTCCATCCCTTGCTTTCTTAATCACTGTATCTAAGTTCAATGAATTGAATAATATATCATGATATTTAAAATGTCAAGAAAGTCAATCAAGAATGTAATTTTAGATCTTTGAATATTGACCATAACTAGCTGTAGTGCTCAGTGCTTGTTCAGTGATAGAATAGTATAGAATATGCACTACCTAAATATTTTCTGCCTTTCCTTTTTAGGCATGGAAGAGGAGATGGTTTGTACTCCGCAGCGGTCGACTGACAGGGGATCCAGATGTCTTAGAGTACTACAAAAATGACCATGCCAAGAAACCAATTCGTATCATTGACTTGAACTTGTGTCAACAAGTGGATGCTGGATTGACATTTAACAAAAAAGAATTTGAGAACAGCTATATTTTTGACATCAACACAATAGACAGAGTCTTCTACTTGGTTGCTGACAGTGAAGAGGAGATGAATAAGTGGGTTCGATGTATTTGTGACATCTGTGGGTTCAATCCTACTGAAGACGGTAAGGTTCTCTCCCTTTTTTAGCTTTTAGTTGTATTCTGGTTCCCAACCAGTTTTATGGACAATCATAGGCCAGAATAAATACTGTGCCATCATATGCAGGCATTAAATAACTACAAAGTTCTATCTTAAATTGTATGGGCAAATCTCAAAACCTTTGTATAAAGTTTTAAGTTTGGTACATTTCTGCAGAAAGGATTCCCTTTTTGGAGGCAAACATAAAACAAAGGTTTTTTAATTTAACATTTATAAGAGGGTTTAAAAAAAAAACTTCTGGCTGTGGACTTAAATATTTGTTGTATATATATTTGACTGAATAGTTAAAGCTTGATCACAGCTTGCACAGTGGGATAGATGTGCTATGTGGCTGATCAATCCTCCTCTATCACAGAAGACTATCTAGCAATAAATGTGTACATAATGGAACTTGGTTTAATACTTGTGCCTCATCTTGCTATTTTTTCCTAGAATCTCAATATCTATTCTATGTTAATTTTCATTAAGATGCGACTTAATCTGTTTATTGACTATCCCAATTTTTGTCATGACTGTTTGAAATATTCCTAGCATTTCCTGTCTAATGTAATAGCGCTTCAAATGTGAATATGCCATGCACTTTTACTTGCATTAACTTATTACAACTTTGCGCAATATATTATCATCTGTATTTTACTAATAAGACTTGGAAACTGAATTGTCCAATGCTTTGCAATGATCCATTAGCAAAGGTGAGATTTCAATCCTAGTCTCTTTAGCTCAGATTGCACTGGTTTATTACATAAAATTATGCATGGAATTGATAGAATGATCCATGGGTGGTAAAGCGATTGGCTACTAGTCATCAATATGGCTATGTATTCTCTACAGTATCAGAGACCACATATCTCTGTATACCAATTTCTGGTAATGCACCCTGAATGTTGTTGTTGCACTCATGTCCTACTTGTAGGTATCATATGGGCATCTGGTAACTACCATAGGAGCATAATGCTGGGCTAGATGGACCTTTAGACTCACCCTGCAGGGATCATCTTAGGAATGCCTCTTAAGGCTAAAAACTCTTTGCAAATAGAACACCAGAACAACCGTCATAGGACTGGGCAGCAACCTGTTAACAGGGAATAGAGATCTGAAGCCTGGGAAGTGAAGGAGTTCTGTCTCTGAGGAGAAAAATATACATTTTGGAGATGGATAGGTAGAGGGGGAAAAACAAACCTTTGAAATACTCACTTTTAAAGTAGTATTTAAAAAAGTAAATGCTTTTTTAAACAAGATTTTATTCACTAAAATGTGTAGGCTGAAAATTGTTTTATTTGAAAATTTCTGTGTACTATGTTGTTACAGAATTGAACTTTATATTCAAATATGCTGAAGTCCTTAATGCAAGGACCATGAAATATTTGGGTTTTATTTACAACTCTTTTGTTTTCTTACTTTTCAGATGTCAGTAACTAAGAGTGCAGTCCTGTAGCCAGTAAAACCTCCGGGAATTCCCAAAATGCTATATCTAGTATTATTCTCCAAGGCATTAATACTTTTGAGCTTCATCCCTATATCCATATTCCTGGGAGTAAGCTCTTTTAAAGTCCTGAATATATACATAAAGCTAGTTGCTGTAAGGTGCCTTGGTAGGATTTTCACTCAAAAAAGATGGCCAAGGAAAATATTTGAATAAATAAATGCATTGTAAATTGTATAAATATTCCAAATAATATAATGCTATTTGCTAAGTTATAAATGATGTATTTTGCTGTTTTAAAGCAGTGAACAAAATTTAGATTTGATTTAAAAATACACATTGCATATGTTGCAATTCCTCCCATTCCCCCCCCCCGCCCCGAGGGGGGTGTGATGCAGCACATCTGGTGAAAACTCTGTGTGGTTACTATTTTTTTCAATTTGGGAGAAGATTCTGAAGTAGTATCACCACATCTGTGTTGATGTGGCATGGTCTGTTTTTCACCTTGTTTTACCATATGTAAAATATTCTCTCATTCTGGAAGATCATGAGTTTTTAAAATGGAGTCTTTATTACATTTGCTTTTTTATTGTTGCACTTCTGTTTCTGTGAGAACACCTCACTGGGACTAAGTCTGTATGCACACTTCGGTTGCAGGGCTGAAGTGTGCATGGATACATGGATATTTTCAATATCTGATAGATATCACACTCAGTTTAAACCAGAGTAGCCACTGAAGTGCCAGCATTGATCAAAACAAGAAAGAGAAGCTATTCTAGTCCATAGAACTGTGAATGCTTCTGTAATTCTATTTAACCCTGAATAATGACAAGATCTCCAATATACTCAATATTATAAGTTGATTCACCTTTTAATAACCACTTATGAAAATACATGCAAACAAGATGTGCAATGGAATTATAATTACAATTAAATGGAGAAACAGCTGAAAGAAAGCTTTGGATTTAGGTGTATAACCCTTAAATGTGTGCCACTAATTATGAACTGCCAGTGACTATCCATGATTGTGTAAAGCTTGCAATTTTCTGTTGTTAGGCCAAATGATTTGTTCTGACTGAATTCTGGATTCCATCTCATTTTGTTCAATTTTATTTAAATAGAACAAATGGGGACAGCACTGTCCTTGCTTTCAGTGGAATATTAAATGATATTGAACATGGCATAGAAGAAACATATGACTTTGGCTATAAGAATGCCATAACATAATATGGCTTTTAATAAAGTAATAGTATATGTTGCTTATGTATCCTGTACATTTGATTATTGGCTCATCATTGCACTCTTGCACCATTTGAGAATTACTTTCCATGTTCCTTTTCAGGTTAATTAGTCAATGTTCATTGGCATCATGCCTTTAGATTATCTTCCTAGGTATCAATTTGTAGTCAACCCAGTTTGCTTCTGTACAGCTCCTTTAAGTGACTTTTTCTTTGTGGCAGATTCATCCTCTTCCATGGCCTCTATCCCATAGACTGTAAAGTCTCAATCTAGCATTGGTTTAGGTCTTACTGTCGGAGCAGGTATGGAGAAGAAAAGGTTCCCAAATATTTTCATATTTCATAAAAGGATTTATAAAAGTGTGATTTCTTACGAGCTTCCCAATATCCAGGTTTCTGCTTGTATATATAACCCTGAATATCGAGGAAAGGTAATGTGTATGCATTACGCCCGCATAGGAGTTGTCTTGGTTGCGCACAGATACTATGTTGTTGTTGATGATGACCTTGACTAAATTCGGGGAAAGAAATTGCCTTTGGTTCTTGCAAAATATCTTTTCCAGAGCTATCTGCTGTGTCTTTCTGCTTATAAAACTTAGTAGGCCAATGAACATAGTGACAGATTTGAAACAGGAAGAAATCTCTAGGCCTTGGTCCAGAAATAGTCAAGTGCAGTATGGTGACAGACACAACTGCTGACCCAGGATGTTGGCTGCAAGCAGATAAGAATATGTATGCCCATCTGTATAGCACAAGGTTATTGAGACTGTATTTGAGTTTCCTTTGCTGGACCCAGTACACTTGGCTTCTCTTAACAAGCTGCTTTACTGAGGCGGCTGCTTCTGTTTTCTTCGTGGGACGAAGAGCATGTTCTTTTTACTTCGATTTTTCCTTTCTTTGCCATCCTATATATTTATGCCATCCTTTTCCTTTCTTTGCCATCCTGTTTATGTAAGCCATCCTGAGGCTCTGCGGAAGGATGGCATATAAATATTCTAAATAAAATAAAAATATATTCTGTTTCCTAACTAGAAGGTGGCATTGTGATGTCCCGCAATTGTGAAATCTACATTGTTGTTTTGTGACATTCCCTACCTTGATAGGTAGTAATAGTGGTTTTTCCTCACTCTCTAAGCCAAAGCCACACATAGATTGAAAACACAGGAAAAAAACAGAGTATGATGATGATAATGTATAAAGGACCTGCACAATTCATGAGCATGCAGTAAAAGCCTCATGCAGAGAAACCAACTGTTGTCCAGGGATTTTAGTGATGCACCCTAAATTTAGTGTCACCGAGATTTCTATCCCTTCCCCCAAGATCAGAACTAGATGATAGGGAGAAGCTTGCTTTGATTTTGTGCTTACCGGGCACTTGGACTGCCCATCCAGGTGCAGAGGCAGATCATCCTGTTTTTCCTCATTTTTCATCTCTTCATGTGCAGATGAAGGACAGAGAGACTACTTAGGGTTCTGCACTTGCACTTGGCTAGAAGTCCCCTGCCTGGAGGTATCTTTAGCCATAATTAGAGTAGTACTATTGAAATCAGTGGCACTTAAATGTATATGAAGTGAAGTTCTTCTTTGTGGTCTCTATGCTTTACACATATGGGCTCTGCACGTGCATGGAGCCTGTTCGGGAAGATTCCATAGCTAAGATTTGCTTAGTGGGAAGACATTCCCTGGCCCCACCAAGACAAAAGGGAGGGATTTCCACTCAGTTCTCAGTTCTTCTTCAACTGCAATTTTGGATGCATTAGGAAGTTCCTCCTCTGCTCTCCATAGCTATTTATCTGCCCTCTGTGCCCCCTTTTCCCTACCCTTCTCTTCGTCTAGCCTTTGCTAATGCTTCTCAACTCCTTTCCTAGGCCCAGTTTTCTTCCTCCCTACCAAAACAAAAAACAAAACGAAGTTTCAAATGTGTATCCTCCCACTTTCTGTCTCCCCCTTATCCTTTCTCTCTTTCTTCCCCACAATAGCACTCAAAGCTCTGTTTAAAAGCTGTTCCAGCAAGCTGCTCCTGACTGATGGCCATCCCCTGTGCCTTTTCTACTTGGGGGGGATCCATGAGGTGGAGGCTTGCTGCCATTGCCAAACAAAACAAACAAATAAACAAACACTGGGCCAGTCACCTGAAGGCCAAACTGTAGAGCAGGGCCTTTTTCAGGGTGGGCTTTCTACAGCCAGCCAAGCACACCTTCACCTCAGAAGGCCTGACTCCAGCTCCACACCACTGACAAGAATGACAGACCTTTCCGTGTAGCCCCCACCAACTCCAGGTCATGCCTCAAAAATCGCCAAGGGAAGAAACAGGCTGAAAAGGCCAAATCCCCCAAGATGGCAAAGGATCCAAGGCAAAGGACCACAATAAGCATTCCAAGACCAAGCACCATGAAAAGACATCCCCTGCTGGCACCTTACACATCATCAATGCAGAGTTGTGGTGTGACACTGAGCACCATCCTTCACTGGCACTGAGATGACCCAGTGATACCTTGCCCTTGATGCCCAAACATGCTTTCTTTATTGTCCTGGAACTGAGATGTGCTGGACTTCCATAGTTGATACCACACAAAGCTGTGCTTGAGTGCTGCAGATACTGGTCCTGTTCACCTCTGTCTGAATGGAACCAAAGGGCTGACTAGCCACTACTTCCTCACACAGGAAGGAATAAATGCAAGAACCTTCTGCCAAGAGTGCTGGGCCTCCTATGACTCTAGATACATTGAACAGCCCTACTCAAGCCCACCAAGCTCTGGCCAAAAATGGCCTGCAGGGAGATCCCCAAAGCATCGTGCTCCCTGGGACCAAAGTCTGCCACTTCCATGCCCAACTGGGACACCTGAGCTCTGTTCCTGCCACTTTTGGACAAAAAGACATCTAGTGGTTTCATAGGCTAGGGAGATAGTCCTCATGACAACAACTTCCATAAGTACTCCAAGTTGGCATTTCCGTGTCTGACCACTGCAAGGCTGTCACATGGTTGGACCCATTGACCTTCATGGGGCACTGCCATCATGATGTCTGAGCCAGAGCTGATTGTGCCCTTGGTGAAGTGGTTCTCTCATCAGTTCTTCAGTAGTGACATTGCTTACATCCATGAAGTAAGCTCACCATTTGCCCATATTGTGCATGGAGAACATGAAGAAGAAAATAAGGTTGCTTACCTGTAACTGTTGTTCTTTGAGAGCTCACCTGTGCATTCACACAACCCAGCCTTCCATCCCCTCTTTCGTGTTAGCCTAGGATGGCAAAACGCTCCATACTGTGGTTCAAGTGCCCACAACTGACCACAGTGGAGTCCCATGTCTTCCAAATTAAAGACTGAATGGGAAGCCCTCTCTCACAGAAGAGTTTCTCTGAGCAAATTTTAGCTGTTCTTCCCAAACAGATTCTATGCATGCTCAGAGCCTGTATGTGTGAATGAACAGATGACCACTTGAAGAACAACAGTTACAGGTAAGCAACCTTACTTTGTTGATTTTGATGGATCTTTTCTAAGTAGGATGGCATCTGGGTCCATTCCAATATCTATTAATTGAAGGAAATGATTAAGTTCCCTAAATCCAACCTTAGTTTTAACTTGCATGTTGTTTTATAACAACTTGGGTCAGAAGAAAGGGGCAATAACTGGGTAAAGGTATTGACAAAACATGCACAAGCTAGAGGAGCCTCTAAGACCCACTGATGCTTTTTTATTTAAACTTGCTTGTGTTGAAAGTCTTTTATTGTCTCAGGGCTAGACATGTTCATTAAAAGGTCTTGGGGCTGTACTGCTTCAGACTATAGGTACATTGTAGGAATGAACAACTCCCCAGGTTCAAACTTTGCTGGTGGAAAGTTAGTACATCAGGAAGAAAGCTACCAGCCAAGCTATTCCTTGATGTACTACATGCCTGTGCAGGAAGAGAGCAAACACCCACCTGTGGTGCTTGTGTGGGAACCTACCATTACATCTTGGCAGGCCCACCTGATTACTAGATTTAGGGTTTTCCCCACAGGCAAGCAGCTTACTAACCCATTGTTTCAAATCAGAATCAAATAGGAGGCACATTTTCAAAGAAATTATAATAATAAAACAATGAAAATAATCATATATGTAGCTTTTCCACATTCTGTAACATCCATTGATTTTAAGGTAGGCCCATGAAGTTAATTGATTAACTGATCTCATGGTCTGATTTTAAAAGGTGTGACTAAAATAAGTTCCCTGACTCAGTGGCCCTGCCCTGTCCCATTGACAGCTGGTATTGACTCCTGGGGGCCATTTCCCCCGAAGTGGCAAGAAAGTGGGAGAAATCCCCCAAACCAGCTGCCTCCTTAGCGCATGCAAGAAGAAAAGTGGGGAGGGGAAGCTGCAGTTGCCTGATCAAGTGGGCAAGACAAGAGTGAGCTGATGCACTTTTCCCAACTGACCTGATTTTTTGTAAGAAAATAACTGAGGATGGAGCGCTTTCCACACCGACTTTGGACTGAAGAGCAGCACACAGATCTTTTGGTAGAGCAAGCATGGGGAATTTCTCTTCGTTGTAGGCTGAATGTATTTTTGGAGAATCTCTCTGGGGTTGCACATGAGTGCTTGGCAGGGCTGGAAATTCCAAGAAACCCATTTTAACCTAAAACTTTAAAATGTAGCATTTATTCATATGCAGAATCAGCCAGCAATTTAATTGTCTCTAATCTCACTATTCAATGGATCTAACAGGGGTTTACACCCTAAAGGCGTTAAGGGTGCTGTGTCCTACGCAGAAGCATTACTCTCAGCTATGGTGGCTAGGACTTAGAAGAAATGTTTCTGTCTAAATATGTAAAGGATTATACTCTAAAAGGATAATGCATAGATTGATTCTGATGCACACTTCTGCTTTTTTAGATACTGTGAAGCCATCCGGTATTTCTCTGCAGGCACCTGCCGAATTACCCTTAGCTGTCAGCACTTCTCTGCCATCTGTACAAGCTGAACCATCACTACCTCCTCCATATCAGTTAATTAACATCCCACCATTAGAGTCTGCCTCTAGCCAAGATGATCTACAAGATTACCTGTTATTGGTCAACTGTCAGAGCAAGAAGCCTGAACCAGCAAGGTAAATATTTTATATTTTATATAAAGGGATTTTAGCAAAAAGTCTAGTGCTAGAAGTCTAACTCTCCCCCCTCCCCCAACACACACATTTTTACAGGGGGATTTCAGTTTGAACAGTTTTTGTTGTAAAACCCTTCAGTGCATCTTGGAGTGGGAAGGGCTCTCCCTCCCTTTGCAATGACATTTGATGCTCTATCAATCCTGGACAGCCATTATGTTGTGCTACTATATTATTTTCCCTTCAAGGTCACAATCCAGTAAATGGATGTGCTTATAAACCAATTCATTTCAAGGGGCTTAAGTGCATGCCACTCTGTGGATTGTGAACCATATGGTATGGTCAAGGTGCTGGTACAATATGAAAATGCAAACTATTTGTTGATCTTATTTTAAAAACAACATTTTTAATCAGTGATTTTATCAAGAGGGGTCTAAGTTTTCCTGCAAAGACTTTATATTCACAGAAAAATGTAAGCTGTACAGAGTTTTAATACTGGGATGGCATATAAAAACTTTAAATAAATAAAATAAAAATAATGTATATTACTAATCTTTCTCAATTTTCATCATGTACTTTAAAACCAGTTCTTACATTATCTCAGAAGAAGGGGAGGAGTATTTACTGCTGGAGGATTTTGAAAGTAAAAAAGTTCCATTGCAGTGAGTTTAATGAGAAAGGTTTGGGATCTGTGTTCAGCTTTTCACTTCAAAACTCTAACTTGTGTGAAACAATCTCTCCCTCTGTGTGTGTGTGTGTATGTGTGTGTGCAGCATGTTGTGTTGTGGATTTTAATAAGCAATGCAAAATAATTACTACTTGATGTATCCAAATATATAATGAAGGTGTGGTTTGAATCATGGAGTTGCCTGTTGACTTTTGCGGGGGTAGCTGTATTTTATGATTTAAAAGGAACCAATGAACAGTTTTGCTATTTTCTACAACTGAAGGCTGCAATCAGTGCCCATCCTTTGTTGTTTGTGTTTGAACGTTTTGCTTCTTCCCAAAGAAAAACTCAAGAGTTGGTCATCCCCAGTCAAACAACAGAACACCATGCTATTCATATTATGTTAAAAGACGAGGGTTTCACCTTTCAAGCTTCATTAAATATAGAGATATTTTCACTTTTTGTTGCATTCTAACTGCATGTTGTGTGAGGCAAATAGGGCTGCTATTTAAAAAATAAACACATTCTCTCCATCTAGAACATACCAGTTTTATAGATAGTTAGCCTCCCAAATTCAAATTAATACTCATGTAGCAAAGTTAGGGATAATCTACTTTGGAGATGAATTTGAAGAAAATTTGTTGCTCCTGCCAATGAGGGCTTCTCTTTTCAACACAAAAATAATTGATGAAATGGCTAATGAGTGTATTATATTTTTTAAAAGCTCTATTAGTAATTTTGGGTTAAAAAAACAAAAATGTTTTATGAACATTTAGTCATACTAGCATGTTCCAAATTGTTGCTAGCCTATCAGAAGAATGAATTAATTCACATGTTCACTATTAGAAAAACTTGCAAATATTAATTCAGGAGGTGGTCATCTGCTTCATCTTCCACCTGGTTGACTTTGACCCACCAAGTTCATTGCCCCTGTAGAACCTTGAAATGTTTAAGAGTGGAGGCAACACCTTAGCAGTGCAATGCAGAAGTACAGCATATCACTAAGGTAACAATTCTTTGGATCCTAAAATGAGAAAAAGCTGCCCTACACACTCACTCTCTCACTCCTATAATGCTGTGCTTTATAACACAGGAATCCCTACTTCTAGGCCAAGAGTCTATTTCATATCTTACAGCTTCATGACAGTAATTCACCTAAAATGAAAACCATTGTACCACAGTGTTTTGAGTCACTATTTTCTGCTTCTTATTTTGCAGATTATGTATTCTGTAAGAGCTTGGACATGCTAATTTTTCTTTTCTTTTCCATTCTCACGTTTAGGTCACAGGCTGATGCAGCCAAAAATGCCTCCTCTGAAACAGACTGCAATGATAACGTGCCTTCTCATAAAACTTCTGCGCAATCACTGAACAAGCATGCAGTGAATGGATTTTTTCAACAGCAAAGCATATATGACTCTCCCCCACCAAGGGCTGCCTCAGTGTCAGTAGATGGAAGCCTTTATAATTTACCAAGAAGTTATTCACAGGATGTTTTACCGAAGGCATCTCCTTCTGGGATGGATGCAGATGGAGAGCAACACATTTTCAGTACCCCATCTGCTACATCTCTGGATGCACAGATGAGGCATTTCTCAATTAGTTACGACATTCCCCCAACGCCAGGAAGTACATACCAGATTCCACGAACTTTTCCAGAAGGATCATTGGCTCAAAGTTCAAAACTAGAGATAATCCCAGATATTCCTCCACCTCGGCCACCCAAACCTCATTATTCTTCAGACCGCTCCCCTGTGGAGGGCTGTAGCATCTCCCGCACTGCCTCAGACACTGATGGTAGTTATTGCATCCCTACAGGGGGCATGCCCCCATCACGCAGCAACACAATTTCCACCATGGATCTGAATATTTTTCGTAAAGGTTGGTATTCTTTTATCTTAACACAGATTTCATTTTAACTTAATTGCAACTAAGGCTGGCTTGCTGGCACCCTTCAGGTGTGTGGAAGTATAGTTCTCATAATTCCTGACTGTTAGCTTAACTGGCTAGGGCTGGTGGCGGTGATTGTCAAGTGTGGTCATAAGGTTCCCACTTCATTTACTCATAAGAAGCTATCTCAACTTCTTAATAGGAGATTTTTAGTAGCTCAAGATTTCATAGTTTAGGGGAAAAACTCTTTCAGATAGGCCAGTTTCTCTTCTTCATTGTTAAGAACTGAAGACTTTCCATATAGGAGGTGCTTTGTTTGCTTATTATATTTATATCCTACCTTTTATTCCTACAAGGGAAAAACATCTTTTCCTCCCACAGAGCAGCACTAGGCTCTGATTTGATGCATGTGCTCCTGCTATAAACACACATTATAAAACATACATGATCTTTTACACTCCTGTACATTTTTCCCAATTACAATGCTATGTACTGGTGTGCAGTGGTGGATTGTGCTATAACCGCAGCAGATGTCATGTTACATTCATTAATGTGTGCTCTCAGAGCCACAGTTGTGTTTTTTAAAAATACTAGTACAACACTGCCTCACTGAAATAGGAGCTCCACCTTAAAAACTGCATATTTTGAAAGTCTACATTGTGCAGTGAAAAGTTGCATCTTTATACTTTTTCTAAAGGTCAAGAGAATGGGAACCAATTTAAGTTCTTGAGGGACTTATTTCCATAGTTTGTGAGCAACACACAAGAAATTGTTTTTGTGTATGTCTGATGAATGGACCTCTGCAGCTTAATGACTTCTAGAAAGGGGCCTCTTCTGTAGATACTAGTATTTGGGCTTGTTAATAGGATGGCAGGTGGTCCCTTAGATTAGTTGTAAGTTTTAAGGTTCAAGAGTGGCCTACTGACATATTCAGAGTTAGCATAGAAGACATTTTCCATTTTGTCTAGTTGCATATAATTGTGTATTCTTCTGCCACTGGCATGGTTGGAAGTTAGGAAAACAATGCTTGCTTTCTTCCCCTTTAGATATTGGCTCTCAAGACTGCTATTTTATTCCACGAACGTTTCTAAATGACAGATCAAGCTCACTAGAAGGCTTTCATAACCACTTTGTAAGTATGATTTTGATTTTCAGCATTAGCATCATAGTGACGCAAAATATTTATTCTTTATTTCTTTATCTATGGAACTAGAGCAAAGACTGTGAAATAGATTGGCACAGAATTGCTTTCCCAACTCGGTGCCTATTGCTCAACTATTGCCCCCATCATCTCCCATCAGCACAGCAATTGGCTATGCTGGCTAGGGATGATGAAAATTATAGTCCACATCTGGAAGGCACCAGGTTGGGAAAGGCTGCTCTAAGATAAGAAGTGGGTTAGCTCACTCTTTCTCATAAAGGGTAGTCAAGATAGAAGGCTTGGGTGTGAGTAGAGTGATGGGATAGGCCTGAGGATATAGTATGCTGCCAAATTCCTATCATACCACCTACCTGCTTAAAAGATGTATATATTTTGCAGTCGGTTACTACATTTAGGAAAGAATATAGGGGGCACAAGAATATTCTGGTTGTGCAGATGAAATGCCAAGTGGGATGGAGCTTTCTCTCTAAAGCAGGGGTAGAGGAGATGCACAGATGTATTAGAACTAATCTGATGCCTTGCAAAAAGAAATGCATGTTAAGTCTACTTGGGAAGGAAACAATGGTTGGTGGCCTTCTATTTAGAATTTTCAGTTTGCATTTTAAAAAATGTTTTTCTGTTTCTAGAAAAACAAAAGCTTGTTGACTGTGGGAAGTGTTTCAAGTGAAGAACTGGATGAAAATTATGTACCCATGAACCCAAACTCTCCCCCTCGGCAGCATTCTAGCAGTTTTACTGAACCTATCCAAGAAATGAACTATGTACCTATGACTCCTGGTACTTTTGACTTTTCCCTGTTTGGAATGCAAGTCCCTCCACCAGCACACATGGGCTTTAGGTCTAGTCCAAAGACTCCTCCCAGAAGACCAGTCCCTGTTGCAGAATGTGAACCACCACCTGTGGATAGGAATCTTAAGCCAGACAGGAAAGGTAAGCAGTGATGATGCTCTGCTACTTGCTGAGTGTTTGGTGATCTATAGTACATTTGTTCCCTCCATGTTAGCAATTAAAGAACTAATGTGAATCATCTACAGTTACCTTAAAAATGCATGTATAGATGCACACGTATGACCATGTTGGATAGTGAAGATGGTTGTCATGCAGGGAATTCCAAAGTAATTCAAAGATTATGCTGCTACCAAAACAGGCAGAATAATTGTGAATGGTTTAGAAACTGTGTTCTTACTCCTGTACAGAACACAGTCTAGAAACACAAGTTTTCATTATTTTTTTCTACACTACCCAATAGCTGAAGCCCTCAGGGTACGTCATAACAATAAAAACCATATCCTGCCCTTTTCTTCTTGTGAGGGACCCAAGGCAGCTTACACAGTCCTCCTGAGTGATAAAGTACAATATAAAAGTTTAAAACTACAGTATAAAATAAAAACAAAAACCTGTTCTAACAAATTTTGGTAAGAATAGCAAAAGTGAACCTTCAAAAATTATGTATCTGTGATACCCAAGCCCCTTACATTCCTTAATTTTTAACTTAGAAGATGCTAATGCTGTAAATATTTCATTAACTAGAAAAAATGTAGTTTTACTTTTTCTAGCAGATCACTCTTTCCCATTTTCCATTATCTAAAATTTTGCAGATATAAACAACCTTTTGACAACTGACAGTAGTGCCTTCCAGGTGTTGTTCTACAACTCCCACCTTCCTTGGTAGTAGGACCCTGTTACCTGGGTGGAGGTTGTCATCAAACACCTTTGAGAGGTACCAGGTTGGAGAAGACTATTTGTCTGCTCTGTCTGTTTAATATAGCTATTCATATGTTCATGTCTCTTTTGGGGGCCAAATAGTTTGCTTTTATAATGCGCTTGGTGCTATGTACCTTCCTTTCCCCATAAATGTGGAAGCACACACAACCCTTTCAAAGCTTTGAACATAATGGAATTTGCATGGGTCAGCATAATACACTGTTGAATTTTTGGGTTGGATCCAGTCTTGTGCTCAGTTGAGTTCTGCTAGGCTGCAGAAAGAGGGCAGGACAACAGTTCTTTGTATTTTTCCCTGGAAATCTGCTGCAGAGGTGGGCTCCCCAGAATAGCACAGGAGGAGGCCCTTGGGGGTGCTTGAAAAGGGAATACTGGAGAAAGTTGCTGACCTACCCCATTTCTCCAGCAGGAAACTGCTGCTGGATTCTGGATCCCTTTGTGAATGGAAGGAAGCCTTCCGTTCATGGAGGGACAACTCTGGATCCAACCTATTGTTTATAAATACTGAGACAGGTTAGGAGTTTTTTTCGTTCAGAAAAGACACCAAATACTTGAACATGTTCTGTATACATATCAGAAATGAATATCATTTCAATAATGTTTTTGAAAGCATTCTGCAATGAATTATGTATTTGTAGCAATTGTGCTTTGTTGCTGTTCTAATCTTTTCAAAGCTTGCATGTGTTGGTGATGGTACCTTGGAAGCAGCATTGCTAGCAAACTGGGATTCAGCGTGGGAAATGCCTGTCTTTTTTTCAATGCTACTTGGTCCTATTTGTATAAATAAAAAGAGCTTTCATCCATTCAAATTATTATATAAATCCTGATAGTTAACCTGCCCTATTTTCCCATTGGCTTGTCTGTTGGGAATGAAGAAAAAGAAATGAATTGTAATCACAGGTAGAGTGTGGCCTCAGAGATGATGTTTGAAGTAAAGATCTCCTATATTTTTGAGCATCAGGGCAATTTGTTAGTTTCTAATCTGGTGCCTTCCTGATGAGTTGGACTACGACTTCATCACCCCAAGCCTCTATGGTCAATGTGAATGCTGTCTGGGGATGCTGCAAGTTGTAGTTTAATGAATGTGAAGGACATGAGGAAGGCTGCTTCATATTGTTGCCCTTTTTCTTCAATACAGCTGTGGTGTTAGGCTGCAGAAACCAATACTAAGGTGTAGGCCACTAATACAGAAAACTAACAGATGGCAAAATATAATTGGAAAATCATGTCTAAGAAAATCTAATGTATTCCAAAATCAAATTGTAATTTCTAAGGATCCTGAGTTTTCTAGCACATAGGGAATGATTGCAAATGATGCAAAGTTTGACAGAACTCTGCACTTAGAAAAGAACCTACTGGAGAAAAACAGTTAGTGCAATGTCATATAAAATGTACACAACTCAAAAAGCCAATGAAAAGCTATTTTCAGAGTTGTTATTTGCATTTGCCTTGTGTGCCTCTCTTTGAGGTTGTGTTAAACAAGGATGCAGCAAGTGCTTTTGTTAATATACCTGTTCCTATCAAGGTAATAGCTTGCCATTTCAAAAGCAGTGATAAATTATGTCACTGTGACACTATTAAGTTCTTTTATTCGCAGTAGCTGTCTGTTATTATGACTTGGTTCTCTCCACATGTCTCAGACTATAACTCCCATCATCCCTGGCTCCAGGCTGGCTGTGTCTGGTGGAAGTTGCAGTTCAAAGGATCAGAGGAGCACTGGGTTGGGCATGCTGCCCTAAAGTTATAAAACACATTTCGAATCATAAGAGAAGTTAACTTAAGGAAATTGATGGAAGGGAAACATCTTGTACTGCCACCAGCCATCTGTACTCCTGGTCACCAAAGCTTTCTCTAGAAGGTTGGGGTCCCTCCTTATGTGGGATGTGGCAGAATGGCTGTTAGAGCCATGGTAAATTGCCCAAAATGGAGAACACTCTTTCTGTGAACTGGCTTAAGGGTGCAGTCCTGTGCAGTATAGCCAGCTTGGGAATGTGTGAAGTTATAATCTTTTTTTTTTTTTTGGCTGTCTAATATAGGATTGCACCCTAAGTTATCTCATTTTAGAATCAAAGTCTATAACTTTTTAAATAGGAGAAGTTGTTTAGAATTATTATAGTATTGTTGCTATAGATTTGGGAAGGGCCTGTTGTAAGTGGGTGAATTCCTGACTTAACAGTAGTTTACACTGTGTTTGTTACAGTCAATCCTATCTGTAACTACTCAGAAGTAATTCTCATTGTGTTTAATGGGACTTACTCTCAGGTGGGGAGGTAAAAGATTGCAGGTTTTATAGGAATCAAGTTTTTCCTGTGGCTGCAAATGATGTTGCTCTTCCTGTGTTAAATAGCCAGCACTTGCTTGGTAATCAATAGGATGTTGTTTATTTATGTAACATTTATATTCTGTTCCCTAGTCCCCAATAGGCCTTCAAGGCAGCTCATATTTTAGACTACTGAAACTGAATAAACTAGCCATTCCCACTAGCCAACTAGCCATTTTTGAGGTCAACAGAGACTGGGAGAGGTTTACCCCCACCAGTAGTATTTACACATTTACTCTGCCGTACCACATAAGATAGTGACAACCATCCATTGCTGCAGGTCAACATTAACTAATGCTCACTGTTGGTACATTTCCAGATAGGAAACAGTTTGTTAGGGATTCCACAGAGGGACAATATGTGTCCATGCTCAAAGCATGTAGATTGCACTCACCTGGGGTACCCACCACCATCCACCAAGCGCAACCTTCTAGTAATAATGCATGCAACATAATACACAAGGATCTCTATATTATTTTTGTGTTGTTTTCTTCAAGGAGGTGTGATTCATGAAGTGGCTCTAAGCTTAGCATGCCAAGGAAATGGCCCACAGTCCACAAGACTGCAAGCACATTGGCTTCTATGGGAAAGAACAGCCTGTATTGCTCTCAGGGATTCATGTAACCAGGAAGTGACCATAGTGTGTTTATGTAACCATCACTCTTGTACAGAACAGTGGAAATAGCTACCCCAGTATACTTTAGTTATTACAATATTTATAGACCACCCTATAATAGATTTTTGGGACAGGTCAAAAATAAATGCATAGAATTCGAATAGCAATAAATATAGAACTCATAGCATGAAAAAGTACCTTTAAAAGTCCTAGAATAAAGCAGAAACACACATCTTACAACTTAAAGCTAAAATGGAAATAAAAGGTTGGGAAAATAAAAGGCCTTCATCTGGCACAAAAATGAGATCAGATTAGTTGTTTGGTAAGCCTCTTTTAGTCTATGTTGTAAGCTCTATGTTGTAAGCCGCCCCGAGGCTTCGGCGAATGGGGCGGCATAAAAATGTTTTAATAAATAAATAGATAGATAGATAGATAGATAGATAGATAGATAGATAGATAGTCAGCCTTCAGGCAGAACTCTGTTATTGAACGGCCCTTTTCCATAGCCATGCACTGCATTCACTTGGTACATATGGAGAACAGTCCTGAGCCATGAAGAGCTTTAAAGATTAAAAAACAGCACCTTGAATATAGATTTGGCTGCTTAAATGCAAACATTAGCTGCAAAGATTCGAGACTCACTGTTGAGCATTTCACGACCCAACAGATCTCTTTTCTGGAGGATGGAAGGGTATGAATTCAGTCTGTACTTTTCAGTGTCAGAGGGTAAGAAGGTTTACCTAAAATAAATAAAAGAAGATTTCCAAAATAGAAAAAGAAAAAAGAAAAGAAAAATAAGCATAGACTACAGGCAACTTAAAAACCAATAGTATTAAAATAAAGTTTTATATTTATATTTATTTATACGTGTATTTATAGGCTACCTATAACTGCCGAAGCCTTCCTGGGAGGAGAGTAGAGAGTAGAGGTGGCTAGTTTAGTAGAGATATTATCATGTAAGCAAGTTTTTACATAGACTAGATACAAGTATCCTATGCCCATTCTTTTCATTCTATAATCCATCGCTCCACAGCTTTTAATACACGGGAGACATATTTCTCTGGACTAGAATTGCAAACAATCACTAAAATAATTTGCTTAGTCAAGCTGCTGGAACAGTGGACAGGTATTCTTCTCACTGCTAAAGAATAATATTTACTATGTCTAGATTGTGTCCTTTATGTCAAATTCTCCCTTTTGCCCAATCATTCAGGATTTGTACCAGGTTTTTGGAGTGGTGATACTTCTGGAGCCCTCTGCAGTTGTTAGCTATAGTGCAGGCTCCACTGGGGAATTCTCATGCATCTATTTACTCTTGCAGCATTTTGTTCCTATCCACATATTAACAGAGAAGGGAGATCAGTGTATCAGGCCTCTTTCCCATTCTTATTGGCTTAAGGTGGTGGATGCATCCAAAAAGTCACTTAACTTTTCAGGGTACACTTTAACCCCACCTAGCGTGCACCAGTTCAGTCACTTTGAAAATAACTACAGTATTCCTCTTGTCCATATTGTAAGTAGCAAGATTATTTTGACAAATAACCAATGGTACCCAGCAGTGTCCCAGCACTAGTGCTAATAATGTTGCATTAGTACAAACTAACACTTGTACAACATAACTTTTGCAGTGTGAAAAAGTGGTAATTTGCTGCTTTCTCCAGTTGTGCTAGTTGCACAAGTATTGTTTTATGTTAGTGCAATGTTATTAGCATGAGCACTTGGACACCATTGGGTTCTACCCTACATTATGTTTGTTGATGGCAATCCCTCCATTATACCCATGTCGCTTTCTTCAAGCCAGGTCCTGCATGCCTTCTGAGCACTATGCTTACATCTTAGCATGAGCTTTAGCTACACTGCAAACTTTTCTGCCGGTTGCTTGCTTTTGCTTCTAAATGTCATCTTTCTGTAAGGGGCTTAGCAACTGGCTTATAGGCTTCCATTTTTTCCAATTATATAAATACTTTCAACCTTTATTAAGAAAGATTCTTCTTTTTACCAATCAGGTCAGAGCCCTAAAATTTTAAGACCTAAGCCACATGGTTTAGAGCGAACAGATTCACAAACCATAGGTGACTTTACTACAAGAAGAAAGGGTATGTACATCAGCACTGCATGTTCCATGAGGCTCTGTGTGAAAACATTTTCTAGAAGTGAAATCTTTGTAAGACATCATCATTGCTACTGTTATCTTCTTGGTTCACGTTACTTGCTAGAACAGTATGCTTGCTGTAGAAAAAACTTGTCTGAACTGCCATGTATCCAGTCAACTATTATCTCTCCTTATTACATAATTATATGTATAATGGTTTGCATTCAGGTGTATTTTACCTGCCTACAAATTATTTTGTCCATTATCCTCATACAGAAGGCTTGAAAACGTATGCCTTTTGATACAACAGACTGCTCTTCATGAGACATTTATTTCATGGATTTATAAAGGGTTCTTCTATTTTCATTTTTGGAAGAACATGCATTTCTCATGGGTTTTTTTCCTGGAGTTTTAAATTTCTCTCCCTTTCCTTATGTTTTATTTTTTTCCTCAGTTCTTCTATGGTGTAGTGGAATTGCAAAACCACATAACCATTTTCTACTCCTTCTTAGCACTCTTGGAAAGAACTCTGTACTCTCCTCATTTTATAAAATGCCATGAAAGTGGCTGGAAAACACAGGAGAAGCCCTGGAGGAAGAGGAGGAGATCATGAAAAGGCTCTCCAGACTTCCATGAGTGAAGGACCACAAGCACACAATAAATGCATCATGTAGATAAAGAAGGAAAAGACTGATACTTAGAAGAAATTTTAAATATTAGAATAGGTTTTTAAAAAAGGAAAGAAAGCAGTTTATGTTAAGCCTTTAGAAGCTGGTGAATCCTGCACTATTACAGGAAACTGAAGCGTATCTTTAGTTAGAAATATTCTATGGCAATGTCTACAAACACTAATTTAAAAAAAATCAGACCCAGGAAAAGGTAACCTTTAATTTTTTTTTCTTTGCGATGTCCCACTACCATCTTTAGGTTCCATCTTAATAGTAGTGTATTCTATGAATTTTCATTTATCACAAATGAGTGTTTACAATTTCTGTGTAGTTCATCTTTGTTTAAAAACACACATTGTACATTTATATACACAATTGATTCACTGGCCTTCTTAAGCCATTTACATGTGATTTCAAAATAATTTTAAAGTATTTCTGTTCTAGATCATCTGCTGATCTAGAATTACTGTGAATAACTTAAATGCGTTTAAATGGGCATCCTGGGAAGATCTGCCATTTCAGGCTGTTTTGAACACCAAGTACCTTGAGGCAATGATTGGGTTGGTATCATCAGGAAACGAAGAGAGGCCATGCTAGTTTTTCTTCCCACCCTGTGAGTGCCAGTTGCATGCCACCTAATTTCCATAATTACCTGTGCAGAGCACAGGTTGCCATGTCCTCTGAACTTGGCATATCAAAATGTGACTAATACCACTGAGAATGTGGTTACAGAACTAGAAATCCCAGTTGCAGAAAATAGATACATACAGCCTAATGAGTTTGGTTTCTGGGGTATCTTGACTGGTAGTGAAATGTCATTCTAGATGCAAAGTTTCAACACTGGAATTGCTCCTTGAGAAACTGAAGTGGTTACTAAAAAACTGATTTGGATACTGCCCAAAAGGCCTTCTTCATTCAAAAGAACTTAACAATGAAATACAAGCTGGAGTGGTTAATATATTCTCCAACAACTAGTTGTATTTACTGCTTTGTTGCAAGCTCTTTTCAACATTGTCCATGATAACATTTTCTAATAATGGGTTGGATCACTACTGTGGAACACCCCCCCCCACCCCGCCGAAATCCAAAAGGAAGAGAACTGGGAAGATCATAGAACAGCTTTGCTTACAAATTTCTTGATGCAGTAAGATTTAACATTGGATTTACACCTGGAGGTACAGATAAAAAAGAGCCAGAGTACTGGAGGCATGCTGTTGCAGTTGAGGGCATACTGGGAGAATGTGGAGTGGCTTTCAAGGAAGGCAAGGAAATGTTTGGTTCACCACATAATAGGAATTTTCTTAGCTTATAGAACTCATTGCCAAGTTTGATCCATTTCTTGCCAACTGTATAAAACATTATAGAAATAGTGATCTAGGAAGCCTGCAAACTGTCTGCAACAATAGGTGATTAAGTCATTGGGCTTATGGCTAAACAGTAAATCTGTTTTGAATAATTTGAGACAAGCAGGGAAAATCATATTATGATATAAGATTTATAATAACCTGAAGATGGTTTTCCCATTAAATGCTTTCTATCTTTCCTTGAATTAGAATAATGTATTGGTGAAGAAAGTATGACTAACAAAGTGTTGGATTATCTGAACAATGACTTCAGTACTGACTTCAGCAAATGCAGAGATTAGTCATATGATAGTAGAACTAACGCAGCAGGTAGATATAATGGCATGCAGCAGAAATTTCTACAAAAATAAGTATGCTGTATATATTCCATACACTGACCATTTTGCTAAATCTTCTTGGTCATGTTACACCTGATTGCTTTCAAAAATACTATTTAATATTGCAGAACAAATGCACACTTTCTTCTCAATGTCTACTAAATCCTGGGCATTATTCAAACTATTCTTAGGTTCACAGTACCAAAAAGTTTGTCTGACACTAGGTGGGAAGCACTTGCAAAGACTACTGCAATAGCTATGAATTATAATTCAGTTATTGATGCTTCTAGTCATAGTCACACTAGTAACAGTGAAGAAGATTATACAAGAATAGAAAATCCATCTTCTGGAGAAACTAGAAGAATTGGAGTTTGAGCTCCTGTAAGAATTTTGGAATTGTTTGGTAAATCAGTTCCACAAAACCAGTAAGACCCTAGTTATTCACAGATTTGCCTTAGCACATGTGCAGAGTGTTACACATCACACTCTGTCCCTTTGTGAAAAAACCAGAGGTTTAATAAAATAAAACTCAAAGTGAAAGGCAACTGTCTGATGTAGACTACCAAGTGTGTATTAAAAAAAAAAACAGAATGAAAAGCAAGCAACTTAATGATGGTGGTGTACCTTATGCTGGTGTACCTTAAAAAGGTTTCCCTGGGAGACAAATTCCACATAAAATCCTTTATTCCACCTGAAGTCAACTTGAAGAAAAGAGCCAACCTGTATGATAATGGTGCACAAAGCTTTACTTTTTTATTGGTTTAGAAGCCTAAGAACAGTTGTATGAAGTTGTAATTCTTCTGATAAAGGTCTAGCCTGATGACATTTATTTCTTTATACACATGGAATAAAGAACTTCCATGTGTATATATAGCAAAATTATTCAGATAAAGGTCTAGATAGGACTAGAATCTATATCAGCTCATCCTCCACGATAAGATGCAGTGGACTTTCCCTAATATAAAAGTAATATTGTAGCAATTTTTGAGTCTAAGTGTAACAAACTGCTTAGCATTTTCACAGCTGTACTGGATGACTGTGGGCATCAGTGCTGTAAGAAAAGCAGTCTGCACTAAGCATTATGCCCCCCCCCCAAAAAGCTTCATAGTGCATTTTTTAATGTCCTCATCTATGACTTTATTAAAATTAGCTGATCTGTATAATAGCCTATCCTTCACATTAAAGTGTTTAATTTCATACATGCTGCTAAGTAGGAAATCATAAAATAATCTTCATTTAGAAGAATACAGTCATAGGATTACCATAAAAGCAAATGGTATTTTATAATGCAAATAAAGCTTTTTGCAAGAAGTATGTTTTATATAGCCTTTTAATTGCATCTTCGCCTATACATATAGGCAAATGGAATTGTTTACCATTTATTTTTTCATTATACTTTCTATTAAAATGTAATACAGCTTTTTTCTCTTTATTATTGTACAAGGCCTTGGAATCTTGACACGACTTAGGGCCTCAGTGTGTCTCGATTTGGTTCTAGTTATTGCTAGATTAAATAATTACACCTTTGATCCCCAAGTGTTTAATAACCTAACTATGAAATTAAAGTATTGTCACTTGAAGCGGCTTTCAGTGTAGAGCCATTTCCCTAGGCAACAGATCTGATGCAATAATCAGGGATTGGGCATAAATTCTTTCCATTTCTTCAGGGGAGGTGCCCCACAAAACCAGTGCAGCTTCTTAGAACAGAAAAGGCTTTAAGCTGTGCTCTTTCTTTAGCATACATGGAAAGACACTTAAAATAATTGGACTCTACATTTGTAACAGAAGACAAATTAATCTGAAGAGTCAATATTGGTACAAATTCTACCCCTTTTCTTCCTCCTACGTCAGTCTTCACTATTTTAATGTCCTGAAGTTATGTTCAACTACAAGTCCCATCTTCACTGGCAAGTATCATTGGCAGTGTTGGGCAGGGAGATAAAAATATGGAGGAGATTCCAGGTGTACTTATACATTGGATAAATCAACTGAAATCAATATGGTCAAGCTATGACTATCTTGTGTTCCATTTATTTCAATAGGTTTGCTGAAAGGTTGACTAATACTGCCTTCTTATACATGACTACTCAGGCAAACCCTATTGAGTTGGTGGAGGTTTGAGCCAAGTTAAGTGTGTATAGAATTATAGCCTAAAATTGGGACCAACCCATGGTCTTAAGTAAGTTCTCTATTTAAAAAAAATAAATGTCCTGTGTGAAATTATTTCTTCATTGAACTATAATAGGAATTACACTTGTATTGTAACAGCTTCTTTTGAATAAGTGTAGCCTCCTTTCAAATCTTACTTCTTTTTTTATATAGTAAAACCAGCTCCGCTAGAAATAAAACCTTTACCTGAATGGGAAGAACTGCCAGCTCCAGTTAGATCTCCCATCACCAGAAGTTTTACACGAGAGTAAGTCTTTAGTCCTTCTGTATTCATACTATATTCATGTCCATTTCAATATTGGCTGTTGTGAATGTGTAAGAGTGCACCAGTAGACATATCTACTTAGACGTTTTATGCTTTGTTCAGTTTTAAATTATTTTATGGATTGTACTCCATTTGGGGAGCTTCCACTAAGAATGGTATATAAAGTTTTAAATAAAGAAATATTGTGATTTTTTTAAATTTTAGTTTATTTTATGGTTCCTGCTTGTGAGCTGCTTTGAGCTTGTATAAGGAAAGGTGCTGTAGAAATATTTTAATTAAACTTGAGTAACATTGCTCCAGTTTCATGTTTTAAAAAGAATTTATCTCAACTCAGTTCCTCCAGGTTTCCTTTGTCTCCCCGACCAGATTCAGTTCATAGCACAACTTCAAGCAGTGACTCACATGACAGTGATGAGAATTATGTACCCATGAATCCAAATCAGTCCAGTGATGATCTGGTATGTTGTTTTGCATGTTAAATATTATTTCATGTGTTACTCTCCTAAAAACCATGTCACACTGAGTTCTCTAGACTGTGAGATAATTACCTGGTTTGCACATAACAGTAATGCTGAATTCTAAGTTGCTATGATGTGTGAAGCAGACCTTGCTACCAAAGCATGTGTTGTTGCTATGTGTGAACTGGAACTGCTGCATTGGATTTATGGGTGGTTCTGCCAGATAACAGGCAAGATTGTGTGTATTTCTTTTAAAAGAGCCACTCTTAAGTGCCAATACTACAGTGCTGCAAAGGTATTTTGATTGGAGGAAGGGAGTAGATGAAGGAGGAGGGAATCAGGCAACTTAGGATTTATGAAAACAAACCATGGTATGTTTGATTATTTGACAATCTCTTGGTGAGACAACAAACCATGGCTTAAATATGTGTGAACATGGTCAATGATGGCCATACTGATTTATTTTCTACAATTTTCAAGGCTATTTCTACAATAAGGACACTTAGTTAAGTAAAATTTAAAGCTTGGGACAGTGTCTAGCACTGCTCATGTATTAGCAAAATGCACCTGTACTGCAACAGGAAGGTAGTGGATCCTTAAGGAAATTCAGACAAACTGAAACATTGATTTTTGTTTGGTTTTATTGTTTTTAGTGTATTACTGTAAGCAGCAGCCTAGAATATCCACCGGGATTAGCGGGCAGCATACAAAATAAAAAATAAAAAAAAAATAAAAATATTTTTTCCAGAATAGTCCTTTTTTTCAGAAAGGAGTTTTGCTTATCAATCTTTTCTGGAAAGCTTGTTTCCAGGGCTGTAGGAAGTGATAGCTTTGCAGTATGCTAGAGGTGGGTCCCACTAGTACAACAGAAATAGGGGGAATACAGTGGCAATGTAGAATATTGCCCTTGTAAATGATGGGATTATGTTGTATGTTCCTGGTATATCTATGTTGCCCTTTTCGTACTTTATTTAAACGTAAAACTAGGTATACTTTATCATACCAATGGTCTTGGTAGTCCTCAGGTGTTCCACATAGTGGCTACAAAGTTGCATATGGCAAGGACAAGGACGGAGCATCAGTGTTTTTGGACTACAACTTTTATTGTCCCTGACCACTGGTCATGCTGGCTAGAGCTGATGGAAAGTGCATTCCAACATTTGGAAGACCAGTTTCCTCAAACATGGCCTGTGGAAAGACCACAGGAAGGACATGAAGTCAATAGCCCTCTTCCATTATTCTGCCATTATTTCTCAGTAATTGGTGTACAGAGGCATACGGACTCAATTTTGGAGATAGCTTATCTGCCAGTCTGATAGTATTAGTCTCTGTGAAGTCATCTACGTACTTCCCTTTAAAGCTTCCTGTGTTGGTGGCAATCACCACTTCTTGTAGAAGTGAATTTCACTGTTTAAGTCCATGGTGTTTCAAGAAATACTTAAATTTGTGTGTCTTGGATATCTCACTATTAGCTTCTTTAGTAACTCCAGGTTCTAGTTCTACAAGAAAAGAAGAAAACGTTTCCCTTTTAATTTCCTGTACACCGTTCATATTTGTATAAACCTGTCATGTCCCCACATTATATACTTTGTTTTTTAAATTGTAAAATTTTTGTGAAAATGTATATCAAATTTGAGCTTGACCTCAAATGCCCCCCATATTTTAAGCCTTAATGCTAATTAAAGGCAGAGCTGACTTGAAAATATTACTTGCTTTTTCAGGGCGTATTACAAAATGAGATCACTAGATCAGTTTCTAGTGCAGTGTTCAAGAATACATTACATTAAAGTTGTTGCTCTGTGGGTTTTTAACTGTTCCCTACTACAATTTTAGGTTTTGTTTGGCAGCAGCAGTCTTGATGGAGGAAGCAGCCCAATGGTAAAACCTAAAGGTGATAAACAAGTGGAGTATTTAGATCTGGATTTAGATTCTGGAAAATCTACCCCTCCTCGGAAGGTAAATAAAATTACGCTGCTATGCACTCATGGTATACATGGTACTCAAAAGATAATTTTTAATAATGAACCATGCCAGTATTTTTATGAGTTGAGAAAAAGGAGAGTTAATAAAACATACACAACTTAGCCAAAATTTGTGTATGTCTTTTATGTTTATAAAAATGAAATTACAAAATGTGGTGGTGGGATGACCTTTTTTCACAGTTAATTGTTACGAGAAGTCACATGTGTTCTAAAACTGTGAGTTCAATCGAAATAGCCACACATGAAAGGATCCTCTCATAGTTGGGTGGTGAACCTGTCATACATAGGTAGTTGCACTCCTGTCCTGCTCATGAGCTGGGACTTGTTAAGGAAATGTGTCCCTTAATAGTTTTTGAATGCCGCACTACTGTGGCACATCATAACTAAAGTAGCCTTAAAAGCTAAATGCCCTTTGGCTCCTGCCAATGAATCAAAGTGTTATCTCATTCATACACCAGTTAAAACTTGCAGCCAGTGATCTAGAGTATCAACAAAATAGAGAACGATGAACTGTCAATGTCACCTTGTCCAGTGTTGTCCATTTTGGTAGTAAATATGTGTGTATTTGTTTATTTAATATCCCATTGTTCTGCCGCATATAATGTTCAAGGCAGCAAATAATAATACAATGCAAGATAAATAATGAATATAATTCAAACAGAAAAGCAAATCAATTACAATGCTCACCAGTAGAAGGAAGGAAGGAAGGAAGGAAGGAAGGAAGGAAGGAAGGAAGGAAGGAACAGCATCCAGTGGTTACTACCTGATTCAGCAAGTATCAATTCAAAACAATAAAAAGACACATTACTTGATTATCCATGGCGCTTAGGCTACAATCCAGTACCCACATACCTGGAAATAAGTCCCATTGAACTCATAGACTTGTATTGCTCTACCTCATTATTACATCTTTTCTTTTCCAGAAAAAGAGCAGTGGTTCAGGCAGCAGTGTGGCTGATGAGAGAGTTGATTATGTTGTGGTTGACCAACAAAAAACACTAGCACTGAAAAGTACACGGGAAGCTTGGACTGATGGGAGACAATCTACAGAATCTGAAACACCAACAAAAAGTGTAAAATGAAAAAAAGAATCCAATCATCATCATCCTGTTTCAATTATTATAAAAAGAGCTGCATTTACAATAGCAGTTGATTGAAGAGTTCTGGACAATTCTTCAGTGATTCCCCCCACCATACCTTCTCCTTCAAATATATAAAAATCAGATGAGGAAAAAAAAAAGACATCCTTGGCATTTGGGTGATTCATACCATGTAAAATTATGTGTAAAATAATATTGCTTAGGTCCCAGAAAACATTTTGAAGTGAGGTTAATACATCTGTAGTATTACAATATTTTATGCACTTTTGTCATATTAAAATGTTGGTTCAGCTCTCCCCAGCTAATGTACTTTTAACACCTGTCCTCCCTCACACACCCCGACACTACTATATAACTTTCAAGGAAGTAAGCTACTTGTATAATATTAAAATTAAGGTCTGAAGTGCATTTTACTAGCTCAAACATAAATTAGCAAGGAGTAGTTTCACAAAGTTAATCTACTTGAAATGTCAAGAGATGATTTGTTAAATACTTATGTTTTATATTTAATACATGCGAAGAATATTTGGAATTCTACAGGTTACTTTCCTAACATAAATGGCTGTGAGTTAGTAATAATATACATTAATGGTTTTAGGATCTACCCTTCTGTCTTATACAATAGCACACTAATAGAGGAGACTCGTTATTGTATTTTCATTGACGATCATATTTGTTGTTCTGTGAACAAAGATTCTGCAGGGAAGGATCTTTGTGCTAAAGAATGAAACACCATGTAATCTCCATATCACTGTTGCTGTGTAGTAATGAGTGATCTTACACTTAATTTGCAAACCATAATTTTTACATTAGTTACAGAAGGTAGAGTCTTTAACATCAGGTACGTATCCTAGCACTGTGGTGCTAACACACTTATCAGGTTTAAACAATGCATTTTTAGTTTTCTACTGCTACCAAGCTTCAGTATTGGTTTTTAGTATGAAAATTAATAAGACAGTTTGACAGTCACTGTTTGTAGTACTAGAAGATACTGTGATTTTTAAAAAAATAGATTACAATTCAAATGGAAATACTATGTCTTGATGTCATAGTGCTCTTCTAATAATTCTTATGCCTAGTTTCCTGCTTGGCCTTATATTTAAATTCCTATGCAACAGATATCTTTTAACATCTTTTTTTAAAGGAAGATCTATACTGAAGTGAGTTTATGTGGTTTTTAAGTACTTCCCCAGGTACAGAATTCATATTGAGTACTTTGATATATTGATTCACGATCCCAAATAGTAGATTTACCTAAATTGAAAACCAAATTTAGTAGGAAGGAAAAAATGTAGTTTTCTTTCAAGTACACCTGAATAAATGTATTAGTTGTCTAATGATGGAAAAATCTATTATTTCATTCTTACAAGGTTATACTAAAGTGAACTTACTGTCCTTCATACTTCCTAAATATTGAATAAATTTAGAAAAGCTGGCCTTAATATTGTGCCTAATTTACTGTTTTCCCACTCCTTCCTTCCTCAACAGTATGTAAATTGTCTTTATTCCTAACAAGGTTTCTTTTTAAATTAGAAATATTTTGATGTTTTGAATTTTTTTTAAAAAACTAAACATGTTGCATTTTGAGAAGAATTTTAAATAAATTCAAGTTCTGTTTTTGATGTGTGCAAGTTGTTGATTGAAAACAGCAAAGCTCTTGAATTTCCAAACTCTGATGTAATTTTTATGTAGGTTCTTATGGTTGGCTATCTCAAAAGCATGGGTCCTGGGTGATTTGTTAACCACCCCATACATTCACTGTGTTCTCATATTATCACAATTCAGGGAAATGAGCCAACATGCATGGGAGTAATTAACACACCACCATGGTTTATTAACCCCCTTCATGCTGTGTGAACCCCGTCTCTGTGAGTACATGACTACTGTGGCAACATGATAAGCCACACTCGAGAGGTAAGGATGGATTGTCATTGAACTGTGGGTTGCTGTTGAAATGTGGGTTATTGAGTTATCTGAACCCAGACAAAATAACAAATGATTCCTACCCAAAACGTTGTATCCTGTTTTATTGCCCTACTTTAACATTATCCACTCTGCTTTTAATTCCCAACAATAGCATACTTTCATGTATTTAAAATGAGAAAATATTTTTCCCCATTATATGCTCCTCATAAGTACACAAGCACATCTGCATGTGCAATGGAGCTTCCCCCCTTTTTCTGAAAGCAGCTTCTGTTTTCAACCTTCCCTTTTCATGCAGTTTCAAAGGTAGCCTTGTGGGTATGGAGTGGAGATGTTGCTATTCCATGGGTGGGGAAAACCTAGTTATAGATGTGCCATCTGGTGTGTATACCACTGCTTCATTTTTTTACCCAGTTAGAGGTGGGTATGATAATAAAGGGAGAAGCAAAGTATTTATATATGCAAATAAACCACACTAATGTTTTTCTGCCATATTTTAAAAGCAGTGGTTTGCATCCAGAGAGCCAGTATGGTGTAGTAGAGTGTTGAGATTCAGGAAATCCAGTTCTAGTTCCTTCGCTTGGTCATGGCGTTCACTGTATGACTTTGGACCAGCCACTGACTCTCAGTCTAACCTACCAAACCGGATCATTGTGAGGATAACATGGAGAGAAGGAAGACCATGTAAGCCACCTTGGATGCCTTGCAAGAGGGGAAAAGGCCAAGGTATAAATATAGCGTGATGGTGATGGTGATGATGACTGTTGACTTTTTATAAAAGAAATAGCAGAGGAATGCAACAGAGATTCACTGCTGGAGGAAGAGGGCTATGGTGATTTTCACTGATACCTCATGCACATTTCAGTTCCAATTTTCCTTTATATTGTCAGTACAAACAGAAGAGGTTGAGTTTTCATAATAGAAGCAGGAACATTATGTACATAATCTTGAATGTGTGACTATTACAATAGGAATATAAGTAGCAGCTAGCTCTTATCATGCTTTGTTTTGCCTTTTCATCCACTTTTAAATGTAACAATTAAAAATTGCTGCAAACTGTATATAGCTCTAATACTGAACAAAGGCCTTGTATAATTCGAATCCTTATGAGTGCTTTGTTGATGACTTCATGGCGAGTGATAAAAATTTTATGTAGAACAGAATATATTGAATATTTTTTATAACAACTGGATACATGCTTAATCATTCACAAGGCTGACACAACACCCAGTTAATTCTGTCACCATGCTAAAATAAATGATGGTGTGGCACCTTACTCCTCTTTTCTCATAGCATACACTCAGCCAAACTGGTTTCTATAACTTAATGCCCAGATGCTTATTCCAATGGGCCAGATAAGCCTTTTCATTGTTCAAACACCTAATAAAGACAACTGTGAACTCCTAAAGGTGAAAAGGAAGCAACATACCCATTTGTTATACTTCCACTTAATAGTTTTATACCTTTGCATGCTATTTTAATGTTGACACAAACTATTGATATAGTTCCATATAAATAGCTACTGAGATGAATTTTCTTGCCCCTTTAAAGATGTGATTGGATTTTAATAGTCCATTTAGCTGAGTAAATCAAGACCTGCAAGATTAGCAGAAGGTTTCTTGCTGCATTATGAGATTTATCTCATTAAACTTTCAAACCTAGCTATTACTTAAGTATATGCACAGTTCTTACTCCTTCATGTTACTGTACATCTTCAGAAATCTGACCAAACCAACTGTTGGAATTTAGGTCCTGTCATTAGGGACCAGGAGGTCCTCACAGACCTACAATGTTAAGATTTGCTTCTATATGTATTTAGTTAAAACCTGCTAAATATTATATGCATTATATGAATCTGTTATGTAGCTATTTCTTGTTTTCACTTATCTCAAACATAGGAAACTGATTTTCAGATTAGTTTATCTGGATGGTATATTTCTTCAGTTATTCATCTTTCCAGGGAAATCTTTAACAGTTTAAAGTTGACTGAGCTAGAATTATTTTTGTAATGCCTCAAAAATAGTTCCAAAATGCCACAAACATGGAAAGAGAAGATGTTGCTAAAAACCTATTTCCCCCCCTTGCTGGGAAACGTACCCCTTCCTGAGGGGTACGTTTCTAAGCTCTCCCCCCCCCCCCCCGGCTCTTTGCGAATGGGGCGGCATAGAAATGTTTTAAATAAAATATACTACAAGTGCCAAATAACTATTTGCTAGTAATGGAAATGCAGCATTTAAAAATGACACAGAACAAGATGAAAAGACAAGGCTTACTTTTTCATCTCTAAAAATGGCTCTGTGGGTGTTACGGTTGACCTGGAGTAGCCTATTCAGCCAGACCATACCAATTCCATCTCATCCAAGAGGAAAAAGCATCCCTTCTGCAATTAGTTCAGTATCTCTGCTAAAGCTAAAGGCCAGATCATCTTGAGGTTGGCATTGCAATGCAGATCCCTCCAAGTTGGCAAACTGTTGACTAGTAAATTGTCCAAGTGCCTAAGCAGTGCGGAATCATCTCAAGTTCATTTCAAAGCTAAGGATGAATTATTACCAGACAGTCAAAAAACAAGGGATTATTCTGGTCTCTCTACTAGGCAAAGGGAAAGGGGTCAAAAGAGATATACTCTGCTGGGAAAGGATGTTGGGTGTCTTTCTCTCTTGGCACTGGTGCTAACAGCAGCTTTCCTGGGAAGCAGGGGAGCTTGCAGTCACTAGAGATGACAGTACAGGTATTGGTTTCTCTAGGGAGGGAAGATCTGGCACAGACGAGATTGTCACCACAGAAACTGAATCTTCCGCTAGCTAGACTGTTTGCTGTTTATCATTTGCCATTTAATTGTCCCTTTAAACTGCTTATTCTTTTGTGCTCTGAATGTCAATACGTTTTTCCACATTGTGTTTTTTTTCATGAATTCCTTAGAAAACATTTACCCTGCTGTAATGTGTTTTCACTAAAACCAGGATGGTATACTTAGGAGGAGAAAGGGGAGAAGCTCATAAGGGGGCACATGACAGTACTGGTCCTGCTAACACTGGTTTGACAAGCATGTTGGTTGCATACAACATGCTGAGCAAAACAAATGCTCTCCTAAGGACACAAGGAGGTTGCAAACAGTGGCTATGCAAGAGACTAGTGGAATCCTTGGTCAGTCATTCCCAAGGAACTGAGAATACCTGGGACTAAGGCAGGTTTGTTTTACTTTTGGTGGTGGCAGCTAGCATCAGTTGGCTCTGCAGCCCTAGGCTTTGCACCTGTACCCGGGATATCTGCAGGTGCCAGGTCACCACAGTTAGATCTTGACTGGAAAGTCCTTCCACTTGTGTTTGGAAATGGTATCATCCATTCTGTTTGACTTAATGTCATGCATTTATTTAGTAAGTTTAACAAGTATGTTACTTTTTAAATTACATCTCTTTTATAGAATACATGTGCTTCAAAGAGAGTGACTTTTTGGCACTAGTGACTTTTGACACTAAACAGAAACTTTGCAGGCAACTGTTTCTTCCTCTCTCCTTCCTTTAACATAACATAAAAGTAGTAACATGACAAGGCCTGTACCTGATTAAGACACCTACTTCTAGGGTTGCCATCCTTATGAGCCAGACTTTTGACCTTCCTGAGCCTATGAGACAAAGGCTCTCCAGAACTCTCTGCCAGAATGACTGTGCATTATCATCAGTTTATGGGTCATCATCTTCACCAACCATCATTCTTTCATCTTCTCAGATAAGGGAGCTCTCATCTGAGTCTGGACAAACACATAGCTAAATCAGGCATTGTCTTCATTCTAAGGGCTTCATTCTAAGCCCATAAATACTGGGCTACTGGAGATGTGAACATGTTCCTTAAATTCCCACAACTTTGGGATTACCTGAGTTTGCTGAAATTTTCCTTCGGGGTGGTGCAATTGTGGCTACATTTGTCCAACAGCAGAAAGCATGCTTTGATAGCAGAGGGGATGGTATTAAATTATACGTTTTATTGGGCAACTAGCTGTTTATTTGAATGGAAATTTAGCTGGGCTGGTGGACTGATTTCACATTGCTGTGAAAGCAAAGCAAATGGGAAGCAGATTATGCACTTAGCTCAAAAGGAACAATCTTTATATGTACGGCATATTTTGATTCACTACATTGCTAATTAAATTGGAGAACCTACTTATTTCTTTTGGCAAATCATAGCAACCTACAATTTAGTACTTATTCCAGTCAGTTAAGAACCATTCTAATGCTCATATGTACCTTAGCAAGAGATAGGGAGAGAGGGAGATGTTCACAAGACCATTATTGATAATGAGCTCCCTCTTGTGTATGTAGATAGAAGGGCTTTTCAAGTATCATGTTGCACAACAGATTTTAATGAAAACAGTCTAAAAGCATCATGCTCACATCTTCTTTCTGAATATTATTTTAGATGAAAATGTAAAATGTTGTTTTTCTGATCTACGTAAGTTTGCCTCTGGGAAGCTGAATATTAAGATTTTGATTTTAAAACAGTGCTGTGTAGATGATTAGCCCATGGTATGGAATAAATGTTTCCCTTACAGTTCTCTTCCACATGCATTTTTCTCTACTGCCCCATCTACATACAATGCTAAGTTTCTTTACACAATGTGCTTTATTACATAGAGATGGTTGATGGTTTATGAGCTAGATATTTGGACCTAATCCAGCAAAAGAGAAAGAAGACAAAATGACAA